AGTCTGTCTTACCATTTTATCTTGGGATATGGGTACTTTTTGTCTCATGTTTTAATTTATACACAGTGTGACTCAGTTTGTAAGCTTTGACAGCATTCAGCATTCCAGAAGTTTCACAACTATGACACACCACAATCTATCACTCCATAAATTCTTCTTGCTGACAGTACGCAAGCAGATCTTGTGCTGTGTCTGAGTTTTCTTTAGTGCCTCTCTCATTCACAGTGGTCACTTCAAGCCCCCATGAGATAGCCCCTCACTATCATCTCTGCCCTGCTTTCTGTTCTCCATTTCTTGCCATGTGCTGTTATTTTCACAGAAGTGTTGAAAACTGCTCATCTGTTAGGACAGCAGAGTCTGTCTGAGAAGTTTCACCTGACAGGTGTTCAGTTGAGTTCATTTTTATAACTTGAACAGAGCTACAGTTGAGAATTTCTTTTTGCCACACCAACCTTCTATATACCACAGGATCCAAGTTCTAACAATAGTAGATGCCCATAGCTGAAGTTCCACCTCTGAGGTTTTAATTGGCTGCAGTCAACCCTAGTTCAAACTATTAAGTGGAAAATTCCAGAAGTAAAAACTCAAAAGTGTTGTGTGCCATTCTGCATAGCCTGATGAAGTGTATGCTGTCTGGGATGTAAATCATTTCTTTGTCTAGCATATCCATACCATACACATGATTGGTCTACCTTTTAGCTATTTAGTAACCTGCTTGATGGCCTGTGTTCGTGTAACATCTGTCATAATAGCCCCAGATCATGAGAGGGTAATGATGCTGACAGTTTGAATATGCCAGCTTTAAGAGAAATGGGCTAGGGCTGGAGAGATGGCTCAGCGGTTAAGAACATTGACTGTTCTTCCAGAGGTCCTGAGTTCAATTCCCGGCAACCACATGGTGACTCACAACCACCTTGAATGAGATCTGGTACCCTCTGCTGGCATGCAGGCAGAAGATTGTATACATAATAAATAAATAAATAAATAAAATATTTAAAAAAAAGAGAGAGAGAAATGGGCTAGAAGTTCTCAGTAGAGAAAGATAGCAGCCTGGTAGTAGTGGTACATGCCTTTAATCCCAGCACTGAGGAACAGAGAAACCCTTTTTTGGTTTTTCTTGGGGGCAGGGAGAAAGAGAAAGAAAGAAAACAGATAAGTGATTGTGTCTACTATAAGCTCAGTTTATAATGTGTGTGGAAGGAAAATCTAATATATGGGGTTCAGGATACCTAGTTTCAGGATGTGTTAAAAGGTCCCTCCCTGACTAGATACAAGCATGTATTTAGGGTGAGGAAGATTTGTGGAAAGTGGTTCCTTACGTGCTGTACCTTTAGTTTTATCCTGTCTTTCACATCACACCTCAGAGAGATTGACTTTACACACATTGGGTACTGCCAACCACATCCACACTCACTGATCCCCCTCCCATGCTCTTATTCTGTTTGGGAAGGGAGGACTAGGGCAGCCAAGACTGGAGGAAGTCTCAGGTATTCAGCAAGGTGTGTTGATATGTTCACTTCAGTTTAGCACATGTATCCATCTTTTCAAAGAACAAGAAAGCAGAGTAAATAGCACATGTGAAGAAGGGACTCTTGGCTTTTAATGCCTAAAAACTAACTCCAGGTAGGTTTTTAAGATTTACTGTTGTGTTCACAAGGTGGCAATACACACACACACACATACACACACACACAGAGTCGTGTGAGCTAATTCAATGATTTTTCACAAATGAGTGGTTTGAGTAATTGGCTAACAGGTAATAATTTGAGTCTTTTGTTATGTTTTATATCACAATAGTGTTTAATGTGACCTAACTAAATCTTATTTCTGATCAGGTTATTAATGTTTAAAAAATATTTATCTTTTTGGTTTTTCAAGACAGTTTCTCTGTGTAGCCTTGGCTGTCCCCAACTCACTCTGCAGACCAGGTTGATCTCAAACTCAGAGATCTACCTGCTTCTGCCTCATAAGTGCTGGGATTAAAGGCATACACCATTACACCTAGCTAGTTTAGATTTTGTTTTGTTTTGTTTTTCAAGACAGGGTTTCACTGTATTGTTTTGGAGCCTATCCTGGAACTCACTGTGTAGATGTAGACCAGGCTGGCCTCAATCTCATAGAGATCCACCTGCCTCTGCCTCCCAAGTGCTGGGATCAAATACCACCAATACCTGGCCTTTTTAATCTAAAGTTTTCATGCAGGCTGCATGTTCTTTGAGCCAACTTGTGTTTTCAGTTCTACTAAGCAAAAGAAACATGGTACTATGGTAGGTTTGAAGAATACTCTATGGTTACTAAGTCAATGATTTGGTTGTGTTTCACTCAGTTGAAAACAGCTAATAATTTTACTGAAATTGGAAAAAAGTAGACCTAGTTATCTCCTTTGAGAGTAAAGGTAGTCAGAATGTGACCATGACAGAATGGTGTTAGTTTTATTTTGACTGTTATTTCTCCCCGTTAGCCTGAGGCAAAAATAGACAAGTGGGCCTAATTGCAAAGCTTAACTTAGGTTCCCAGTGATTATAATGAGATCTAAGAAAATTAAGATTAGCTGGGTGGTGGTGGCGCACACCTCTCTAATCCCAGCACTCAGGAGGCAGAAGCAGGTGGATCTCTGTGAGTTGAGACCAGCCTGGTCTACAAGAGCTAGTTCCAGGACAGCCTCCAAAACCACAGAGAAACCCTGTCTCAAAAAACAAAAATTAAAATTAAGATTTTCACTTTCAGGCTGTTGAATGAGCTTCATGGTATGAAAGCTGTGTATATGCTGTTGGATAAAATACAAATTTTGTTTATTCAGTTGCAGAGAATTTATTCTACTTTGGGTTAAGAATTGAGCTGTTCTTATCATGCATCTTAGTATTCATTGCTGTAGTACAATAGGGTCTCTTGACATTTTAGAGGCTTTAGGGTTTGAGATGAAAAGCTGTAAAAAGTAGTCTCTGAGGGACCTGGAACCCTCTCTTGGAGTACAGAGAACAAATGAATAAGTCATAGACTGTCCTTAGACAAATACATACAGTAACTAATTGAGTAAAATGGTAGGTAAGGTAAATCAGCTAATTATCTTACGAGGAAAAAGATTTGTTTGGCATGGTGGAGCCTGTGAATAGTCAATTTAGTTCAGTGGGTGACAGGAAGTTAATGAAAAGCATGGTCTGTACAAATTGGAAGAAGTTTAATCTGGAGTCTGAGGCCAGAGCACAGCTGCCATTTGGGATGTGGGTTGGTTTGTAGAGGAATGGCCACCTAGCCTCTCCATGCCCTTAGCAACCCCAGCTCCCACTCTACTCTCTTGATGGCATGTATCTGACCGTGGCTTTGCTCACTGTGCCTTCTCAGTGAGCTGAGGTGCTGAGTGAGGCTTCTCACCAGTGAGGTCTGTTTGATTCACTGAGCAAACATAGGTAAGTGCAGTTGCTCTAGGAAGTGCCTTTTGTTTCTGGCCCCTTCCTCTAGCCTCTTTACCTGTCTGTTTTTAACTCTAGCAGTACCACTGAAGAAGATACAGTCCTCCAAACCAACAAGCAGATTTACTCCCAGCTTTTGAGAGCAACTGCCAACAGAAATTCAACTCTGCTGGAACGAATTGAAGTCATCATCTGTTTGCTGGAGCAGCTTGCCTCTGGGAGCAGCAGCTCAAGTGGCAGTGCTGTCCCCTGACCCAAAGTTGTACCTGAGGACTCTATGTCAGTGCCTTCCCAACCTGGAGCTGTTCTGTCCACTCGGTGCTGAGTCTTATTAAATATGAGGAAATGCCATTTAAATAGGCTCACAGTGGAGACTGGTTTCCCACAGCAGGCAGAGGATGTGGGGTGCTTTGGCTTCTTCCTTTGAAGGTGAAAAACCAGAATGGAATCAAACACTTTCTGGTATATTTCCTAGAGAAGTGCATGGTTCCTCAGCAATAGCAGACTTCTTATGACGTGATTACACTTACAGATATTCTTGAAGTGTGTTAAACCACTGGGTGGAAGATGGGATTATTTTGGATAAAATGTTAACTTTGACCAAGAAAACTTTTATCCAAATGACTTTACGGGTTCAAATGGCTAGTAGAAACTCTCTGCGCATCAGCATTTCCTTCTGTTGCACAAGAAGTATACCCTTTCCAAGCTGTGGTGTAGGATTTTTTGAAGACTGATATTGTGCAGGTCTCTATTCAGTGCATGTTCTCAAAGGACTCACTTTTCTTTGACTTTCTGTGACATTGATAAAGAATAGGTACTATCACTTTTTCATTTGAAACTTGAAACTGTGAATAAGGTAAGAGAACTATTTTGAATAAATAAGCTATTTATTTAACATACCTTGGTATTTCCCTCTTCCATTCTTCACGCTGCTGTGATTTGATTTTATTGTGATTAGCAAAACCTTAGGAAGTACATCATAGATAATAATGTTCAAGGTAAATGTCTGCCCGAATTCATGCTCCTGGGAACATTCTGCTTGGGCCCTGCTGCTCTGGGGATCTTGCCCACTTGCATGCCTTCACACTCTCCTGTTACCAAAGCTGACTGCATATGGGGCTGTGACTGATAGTGTACAGCATGCAGATGAAGCAGTCTCTTCTGCTTGGGTGACACTCTGGTGTCCAGCCTCACCTGCAGCTGTGGTTGTCTCACTGGAGCTGACCTCCATTGCAGCAAGGCAGATTAGATTCTCTAGCCATTTGTCTAGTCCTTGATGGTTTGCATTGTCCTTGAAGCAAATTTTTGTCTATAAGAATCACTGAAACTTCTAAAGTTTTGGTGAAATTGTAAAGCTTTTGTACCACCTCATCAGTCCCATTTCAGGACTACTGTGTGCTTTTGCTCCTACAATGAGTGTACACACAGTAACAGCCTTTCCTCCACTGAAGAAACTGGCTGCTTCCACTGAGCGTAGCACCTCTGGAGCAGATGAATTCAAGATTTCTCCGTGTTTCCCTAGAGATGAGTTGGGGTGTTAGAACAGCTTGTCTCTTTGCCCCTCTCCTTAGCTCAAGAAGCCTTCAGATAGAAGGAAAATGGTCTTTAATCAAGGAAGTAGACATTTCGGCTCTTTGCCTTATAGCAATAACATGAAAATTTCTGCAGGAGAAATAAAAGATCCTTCTTAAATGTGTTGTAATTACTTATGTTGGTTTAAATTAAAGTTTCCTGAAGTACATGTGTTTTAGCTGTTCCTTTAGAAGACTCTGTTGCCTGACCACTCAGGTTTCTGAATCTTGTTCAGTTGATTTCATCGTCCAGATATCATTATATGACAGTGACTTTGTTTATTAAGAAGTCATAAGCCAGCCAGGCAGTGATGCACACCTTTAATCCCAGCACTCACAATCGGGAAGCAGAGGCAGGAGATTCTGAGTTTGAGGCTGGTCTCTAACTTGAGTTCCAGGACAGCCAGGGCTACACAGAGCAAAACAAAACAAAAAGAATTCATAATCCCTGTTGTATGGAAGTTAAAGGGTAATGCCTATCTTAGACTAGGAAAATTAGTTACCCAGCCAGCTTCCAGAGCCCTGTTGTGGCCTGGCCTGGCCTGCAGAACATAAACAGGTAAGTTTTCACTACTTTGGGCCAGGCGGTGGTGGCGCATGCCTTTAATCCCAGCACTCGGGAGGCAGAGACAGGCAGATCTCTGTGAGTTTGAGGCTGGGCTGGACCGACAGCCTCCAAAACAATACAGAGAGAAACCCTGTCTCGTAAACCACCCTCCCCCCCCAGAAAAAGTTTTCACTACTTTGTAGGGAGAGAAGACCACTAAGCCAATTAGGGTGAGCCAGAAAGGTCATGCTCTGCAGAGCCTCAGCCAGTTGTGGGTAAGGCCATGTGCACAAACAAGGTGCATTTGGCAGCAGGACCACACTGCAGGGTGCAGAGATGGAGGTCTTTCTGTTATGCCAGACAGACAAGGACGGACTCATTGGGACCTTTGGTTCAGGTCAAATATTAAGCACATCATTATGAAGTGTTTTTTGCAATATAGCTAATTTCAGTTCTGTGCCCTGCCCTAGACCAGTTCTCAGTTTAAGTGCTGTAAAAGCCATTTCTGTACCACACAATGTTGTGACCACTGGTGGCACTATTGGGATGGCAGAGGTCATGTGAAGTTGAAAGAAAAGATGGGAATTCCCTAAGGTAAATCATTTGATGTTTCTAAAAGATACTTTTCCCCCAAGTTAACTGATCCTTAAATCTATTTTTATAGTTCGAGGAATGCTTTCTTGTTCAATTTTAGCCTAGGAAACGATACCTGCTTTAGCTACTAAGTCTGGTTTGTTTTCTTTGCAGAGAAGTCTGACTTTTCTCAGAGTTTTTGTAAGTCCTAGCACTTCCTGTCCTCATCACATGTTCAGTGTAGAGGTATGAACATCACAAACATCAAACCACTTCTCTGAAATAGACTTTTTTGGAAATAATCCATTCAGAGGAAGCCGAGAGTTCTGTTGTTTGTCCTTGTCACTAACTACTTTCCAGTATGAGTTGCCTTTGAAAAAGAAGACGGAGCTGTGTGCATAGGAGTAGTAAGCTGAATCGATGCTTCTGAATGGATGGTTTTGTGGCATTACTGCTGGAAACACTTGGCTCATCTTCTTTGGGTAAGAATTAAGTACTTGGTTTTGGTTGACATCAAATGCGAATACCTGCAAAGTAAAGCAGACACTTTTCTGAGGATGTTGACTCTGAACTTTCAACAGCATCTTGACTCAGTCTGACTCTACTGGATTCTGTAGACATGAATTGCTGAGTATTTTCCCCTCTGGTTCACAATAGTTAACGTACATCTGAAGTGATGAGAACATCTTTTAACTAAGGACTCAGAGATGCAGTGATACTTACTAGAGACCCCTTGAAGAAGTAAATTAACTGCTGCCTCCGTTCATAAAAGGCAGTGTCCAGGGGGCTGGGGATGCCAGGGAAGCCTTCTGAAATCAATTTGGGGTAGCTCTTTCCTTGTTCATCTTCTGTGTGTGCCTGGTCATTCTCGCTGTCATATCTCCAATATTGGTTTCCTGAGAGCCAACCCAAAACTGTCAATGTAGTTTATTAGTACCAGACCACAAGAAACATGACATGGGCCACAGATACAACCCAGAACTCCTGGATTCCACCCAAGTGACAATTCACCCACTATCCTATGACAAACTGGCATGCCACTTCATGTCATTCCAAGGGGCAGCTGCCAATAGGTTCTAAGTCAGCCCTGTATGATGTTCTGCCATGATTCCAGAGAAAGGAGGCTTTCTCATTCAGCCATCTCTTTAGGCCTCCCATGACTTCATTTGACCCCAGTAACTTTTGTCTTTCCCATCACTGCTGTGTTAGAATGCTAGTTGCAGCTGGGTGATGGTGACACACCTTTGATCCCAGCATTTGGGATGCAGAGGTAAGCGGATCTCTGTGAGTTCGAGGCCAACCTGGTCTACAGAATGAGTTCCAGGACAGGCTCCAAAGCTACAGAGAAACCCTGTCTCAAAAAACAAAAAAAGCTAGTTGGCTCAAACATGGGATAGCTTGAGTCTTAGTCTGTAGACCCATTTATAGTGGTTTGAAAGAAAATGGGTCCCACAGGAGTAGCACTATTAAGTGATGTTGCTTTGTTGGAGTGGATATAGACTTGGAGAAAGTGTGTTACTGTGGGGATGGGCTTTGAGGTCGTCTTTGCTCAAGCTACACTCAGTGTGGTAAAGAGTTCACTTTATGTTGCCTGGATCAAGATGTAGAACTCCCGGTTTCTTCTCCAGCACCATGTCTGCCTGCATGCTGCCATGTCCCATCACAATGATAAGAGACTAAACCTCTGAAACTATAAGCCACCCAATTAGACATTTTCTTTTATAAAACTTGCCATGGGGCGGGGTGGTGGTGGCACACGCCTTTAATCCCACCACTCGGGAGGCAGAGGCAGGTGGATCTCTGTGAGTTCGAGGCCGGGTTGGTCCAAGAGCCTCCAAAACAATACAGAGCAACCCTGTCTTGTAAAAAAAAAAAAAATAGCCATGGTCACGAGGTCTCTTCACAGCAATAGAAACCCTAAGACACTATTCTTTGCCATGTTAGAAGCTTCTAGTCTAAGTTTACTCATTTGGTGACTTAGGGGCCTTCCTAAGATCAGAGGATACAGCCCACCCTGAGCCTGCAATCTAATCAAATAGGAATGCCACTGGTCACCAGAACGTTACAGTGAAACCTTGGTAAGTGCTGGAAACCTTGTGAGCACAAGTTCAGTAAGAGAAATAGTCACACTTGAAGCATTGTTACCTTTAAAAAAAAATCGTTCGTCTCTTCCCCATGACCAGACATGGACGAAGGCATCTATACGTTGCATGGGGATTCCACGCCAGCCAGTAAGGATTTGGAGGGGGTCCCCATATCGAGTCCTGTTGTTGCGGTTTTCATAGAGCCAGTACCAGCTATTGCGGAAGAAGTAGGTGTTGAACCTCACTCTCACTTCACCATATTGGTTCCTCTCCTTTCGAATCCAGTCGAACACTGTATCAAATGATCCCTCACATGAACCTGGAGAGAGAAAAAAGTTCCAGCCATTTGTCACTGCAAACACCAGCATTCATAATTGTTTGGGATGGAGGTGGTTACATGGCTAGCACTTCCTGTTGGAATGTCTTAAAGAAGCACTGTAGAGACTGAGCAGTAGGTAGACTGAATTTTAGGAAGCTATTCACAGGGTTTCCAGACCCAGTCTGGATGCAGTTCTGGGTCATCCTAGTGCTGCTGGCTCATGCCTCTTAGTCCATCTGATTTCGTGAGAGGAAAGACATTTGGTTCTAGACACATAAAACAGCCATGTTTCCACTGGAGGATGCTCATGAGGCTGCAACATTCTTTGGGTGTCAAGAATGGGAGCACATGAGAACAAAACTGGGATGGACTCTGTGAGGGCCTAGGAATGGAAATGCTTTCCCTGTCTTGGGCATCTGTGCTGTAATCAACAAGTGTCTTAATTGTCTATGTGTCTGTGTGGGTGCCCATGGGGGCCAGAGGTGTTGGATTCCTGGAGCTGAAATGGCAGGTAGTTGTGAGCCACCAGATGTAGGATTAAGGCACCTACATCTCTGGAAGGCACTCTTAAATGCTGAGCCACCACTCTGCCCCACAATTTGTTTTAAATAGCCACAGGTGCCCAGCATAACAACTGAAAGTTTGTGGTGAAGTTCATGTCTGGAATTACAGCTTCTTCCATTGGCTTCCTGTGTACTCAGCTCTGTGATGAGGCATGGGAGCTCTGTGTATCTAAAAGCCATGATATCCTCTTCCTCACCAGTGTAGAAGGAGTTGGGAGAGAAGGCACAAGAGGGACTTGCTCTTCACGTGTGGCTGTCTGTGGTCTAGTGAAATCATTTTAAAAGCCTGCAGATGGAATTTGAGGGCAGCTCTTCAGCCATGCAACCTGTGCTGTTTGGGGACCAGTCTCCAAGTGAATAGAGCCTGCTGGCTTTAGCCTCCTTAATACTCTTAGCTGGACCCTCAGCCCTAGACCCATCTTACCATATAGTCTTTGAATTGCTTTCCTATCTGACCAATCCAACTCAAACGCAGGCTCCTGGGGAATGTAGTTTGGTTGCATTATGGATCCTGCCCTGTAGGTATGAGGCAATCCAAGGACGTGGCCAATTTCATGGACAGCTACCTAAGAGGGGAACACAAACCACAGATGTTGGACCAAACCTGAGTCTTTGATGATGCAGGGACCTATCACTAAATTATAGAAGCCTGGCCTATGCCCTGTGCAGAGCTGCGCTTGCTTAGAGAAACAGGATGAGTATTGGGGAACCACCATCAGAGACTTGCTAAACTTTCTAGAAGGTTATGCACACACCAAGGAAAAGCTTGGTTTCTGAACTTGTGCTAGGTGCTTTGCCTTCCCAACACAGCTGCTGGAGCCTCTTACTTTGAGAAGGCTGATGCCCGTTTCACTGGAGAGAGGGGTGAAGTGCTCGTCATCATCAAAGTGGATCTCACCCAGACGCCAGGCATGTGCAAACTCCTGTCCACTCCCGTCAAACACCCTTGGGCAGCCCAGGTGCCGGCCTGGTGTGGGGAGAGGGTGGGTAGTAGTGAATGAAGGTGCCCATCTTAGGTCCCTTTTTTGATAGCACAGACTTTAACAGCACTACACTCTCCAGGAGCTAGTGCAGCAATGGGCTATACATAAGGTCCATGGAAGCAGACCAAAATGCTGGGTGTCTGAACAGTGTGTCGATAAAGACCAGAGACAAACCAGCTGTGGTGATGCACACCTTGAATCCCAGCACTCAGGAGGCAGAGATAGGTGGATTTCTGAGGCCACACTAGTCTATAGAGGGAGTTCCAGGACATCCAAGGTTACACAGAGAAACTGTCTCAAACAAAAAAACCAAACAACAGCAACGAAGACTATAAACATCTCAATACTAACTGCTGTGAGTGTGTGTCTGTGTGAGTGCTGAGGGAGGAGACAGTTACTGGAGCTGGAACCCTATGATGGGGAAGACCTCAAAAAGGTCACCATCTCACATCCACACTTATAACAAACCATGACTCATGGACTCTAGAATTAGGAAATTAACCCAGAAAGAGCAGCAAGGTGGATGGGAACACCTCTAGTTCACAGATGGGCTGGGGAAATCGGTAGTGGTTGCCTTTATGTGTCTTCACACAGGTCAAGTAGGCTCTACCCACTGCTGTTCCATGTGTCCAGGAGGATGGGTGGGGGATGAGCTGGGATGTACTCCAGGCAAGTGAACCCCAACAGCTAAGACCTTAGAATCTACCGAGAGTAGATCCTACCCCTTTAGGTGTCATCTCTGAAGAAGCCCAGCAGGTAGGAGTTGGAACCACACCACTCTGGGGGACAAGGCCATCAAGTTGTGATTGGCCCAGGTTGCCCTAGGCATGCTACTGGGCATGGGGCCTTGGTGGAAGAATCAGAGACTGCCTGTAGACTAGGCAGGAAGGGACCCTATGGTCTGTTCCCCTCTTACCTCTCCCGAAACCCAGCTTTATGTCCACCGTGGCGCTAGGGGCCGTGAGGTCCTCCCGAAAGTCCAGTGGTGTTACCTCGCTCCACATCCTGAAGGCCAGTCTAAAGATGTATCTCTGCTCTTCCACAGAGAGTTGGCTGCTGTAGGCATCCCCCACCAGCCTCCAGCTCAGCGTCTTCTTGGAGAAGGCCCTGCTGGGCCCAGTGTCTGTGGTGCCCTCATGTTGCCCACCTGGCTTGGGCAGCAGCATTTGAAGAAAGCGCTTTTGTCGGACCCTGGGCTGGAGACCTAAAGAGGTTGGCAGGGCTGGTGGGGTTGGCAGGGCAGCCTGAGGTGGCAGCCTTGTGTCAGGGATGCCACAACGTGGCCTGTTCATAGCTGCCAGTGTAGGTGAGTCTAGTTCCCCGCTGGCTGGTAGTCTGTTCGCCTTCTGGAATCTACGCACAGCTTGAGACAAGGTGGAGGCCACGGGGACCCCTGATGACTCCTTTGGGCTAGGCATCTCTGACCAGCCATATTTCAATAGGAATCTCTGTGGGAAAGAGAAACCCTAAATTCAGAGGGTTGCCTCATGCCAGGATTTTCCCTGTGCTGTAGGGGTTAAGGAGGGGCATGGGGATATAGAGAGCCTACCAGAGTGAAGTCATGGATGCCACATGGCCTGTGGAGGAGCAGAGTTGAAGCAGGCCAGGTAGTGGGACTGGGAGGGAAGGGGCCATGCCAAAGGTAAGAGGTCGAGGCTGTGGTACTGCACACTGGCCTGAGGGGCTGAGAGGGAGGCCTGTCTGGAAGGCTGGAACTCCACAACTCCCAAGGACTGGACAAGATTCATTCTGCAAGTCCAAGTTTCTAGCATGCAAGGGCAAGGAAGGCAGGCGCAGCAGGCGTCTGGGGCAAGGAGCCAGGAGTTTAGGGGGAAATCTTGATCTGTCTGCTTCTGGTGCTTGATAACCACCAGACTGCAGGGGCTGTGGAGTGGCGGGAGGTCTGCTCAGATCCACTCTTACTCCAACCCATGACTGGAGAAAGGAGCCCTGATCTTGCGTCAGTGAATGCCACTCAATAGCACAGTGCAGGGAATCTTAGCTGGAGCTGTCCTTTCTCTGTATGTCCAGACTGGCAGGAGGTCAACCAAAGGATGCCATCAGCATCATGCCTTAGACTGACAGCACCAATGCTCACATTCAAATGTCCTCTGACATTTAAAGCTCCTCTCTGCACAGGACCCATCTCACCTAGACACTGTTGCAGCTAGGGTTCGTGTCAGATGGGGTCAGGTGTAGCTCAGTGGTAGACAGGCTTTGCAAGGTTCCAGGTGTCATTCCCAGCTTGACAAAGATGAGACACCAGGTTAAGCAGGCGCTCTGCCTCTGCACAGCCATCTTTCCATGTCATGCTCTGGCCTCTTTGTGTGTGTGTGCGTGTGTGTGTGTAATTGTACACACAGATGCTGCTGTTCTGTGGGTCTCCTTACCTGAGCAGCACGGAGGTCAGCAATGGGCTTGGCCTGGCTCAGAGGCGATGGGTCCAGGTCCGAACGGTCCCGGCTGTGGAAGAGCCTCTCAGGCTGGGTCGGCTGGGGTGCAACCAGCCAGAAGAACAGCAGTGTCAGACGCAAGACAGAGGCAGCAAACATGGCCCCACTGGGACTCTGGTCCTACCTTGCTGCGTCCCCGTCTCCCCTCCTAAGGGGCAGGACATGGTAGGACCCTTTTATAAGTAAGCAAGTATTCTTCACCCAGCCCTGAAGTGTGCCTGCTAGGAAACTGTATCTGAGGCCCTGGTGTACTGCCTTTGAAGACCCCAGGGCCACTTTTCTCATCGGTATGAGAACTCCTCTTCCTTCAGTCTTGGGGTATGGTATTTCTGAGTGATGAACCTGTGGACTGCTCTCCTGTGTTGACTTTCCTGGTTGAGTTTGCTCCTAAATGAACTGAGGGAGAAGTGCCGGGTGCATCCCGCTGTGCTGCTCTGAAGGCCAGCCCAACCCTGACAACATGCCTTTTAGGACTGGACCTGCAGCTTTAAAACTGTAGCCTTTAGTTTGTTCCTATGAAGGTCTCTTTTCTGGGTGATCTGAGGTTTAGGGCATGTTGTTTCTAAACTTTTTTTTTAATCATTTTTGAGACAGGGTTTTTCTGTGTAATAGCCCTAACTGTCCTGGAACTCATGCTGTAGACCAGGCTGGTTTCGAACTCACAGAGATTTCTTTGCCTCTGTCTCCTGAGTGCCCTTCAGCTCCTGGAGTCTAGAGCTGAGGCTGGAATCTCATGTCAAAGGTCATGCATAGGTCCTCATCTGCACCCAAGTCCTGCCTTGCCCCTCTTGAAGCCTTGCTGTGACCAGGGCCATTTGGCACCAGGGATGAAAGATCATAAAGGAGGCACTTAGAGTTTGGAGACAACATTGAGTAAATGCCCCCCCAAAACCCAAAATGGTGAGGACCCTCCTCTGCTGCCTGTCAGTGTTTGTCTCCTTCAGCTTTCCTAGGAGCAGTGGAACCCCACTTTTCACCCCATCTGTTCTACTTCCTTTTTAAACTCTGTCTCAGCTGGTTTCTCTATATCATCCATCAACTCTGCACCTGCCATGGTGAGTTCAGCATCCCCCAGTAAATGTGTCTCGTTGTCAGGTGTTCGGCCTATTCCAGAGCCCTGAAATGGTCACTTCTGAAGATCCTGCTGTCCTCTAGCCTGGCTTCTTTGGAGAGGATGTATCTGTCCTTTCACTACATTCTGCTTTAAGGCAGCTGCCATCAGAGAAGGTTCACAGGTGACTCCAGCACTGTGTGCATCTGTGATCACTAGGTGATTTGGAGACCCATGTCAACAGTCTCCAGCCTTGAAAACAATGGAAGGAAACAGAATAGAGGGCTGGAGAAATGGCTCAGTGGTTAAGAGCACTGGCTGCTCTTCCAGAGAACCTGGGTTCAATTCCGGCCCACATGGAAGCGCACGGCTGTCTGTAACTCCAGTTTCAGGGGATCTGACATCCCCACACAGATATACATGCAGGCAAAACACCCATGCACATAAATCATTTTAAAAGATGGATAGAAATCTGCTCCCTGAACATACTGAGAGGAAACATGCTCTCGTAGTACAGTATTCCACCAAACAAGGTTTTCCTATGGAAATTTTAATTGTGCATAATTTTAAAGTTCTGTTACTCATAGCTTTGCCTTAGCCAAAAGTACAAAAATAGAGCAAACTTTTCTAGTATGTGTGTATGTGTGTTCAAATGTGCATAATGTGCTTGTTGTGTGGGTGTCCACGTGAAGGTCAGAGGATGACTCTGTGGGGTCACTTCTGTCACCATTGTATGTTTCAAGAACTGAACTTAGGTAGCCAGGCTTGCATGGCAAGAGTCTAAAAACCAACTATCAAGGTCATCTGGCACTGCTGACATGGCAGCCTGTGCCCAGGGCTCCTCTCCTGCTGCACCTCAGCTCCACAGGGCCAGTCCGCTGTGGCATAAGCTCCCTGTTCCTTGTATGGTGGGAGGACACTTTAATCTGCATGAGTTTGCCAGAGAGGGGCAGTCAGCCCAGTTCCTGGCCGGAGGCTCCTGCACATCTGATACAATGCTCACAGGACACCCAGAGCTGCCCATGAAGATGCTGCCAGTGTTCTCAGCACTGGCTGTGATACCTGTTCTTCCCTGCAAGAACAGACATCCTCCACAGAAAAGGGTTCCTTGCGGATGGGGGATTGGAAAGTTAACAGTGAAATGTGACTCTCAGGTCAGAAAGGCTGAGCTAGGTTCTAAGATCCCATGCAAAACAGCGCTCACCACAGTACCTTTGCTGCTGCGCCTCTGTTCAGGTACGAAGCTCTTCTCAGTTACTCCTTAGCTCAGTGTGGCCTGAAAATCCAAACACCCACATCCTTGGAAGCTTTCCCCCTCCCCACTAGCTGTGTCACCTCAAGGCCAGCAGCAGTGACTGGAGCGTATTTAGGAATAAGGGTCATATTGAAGTAGGAAGCCAGAGACTACAGCTCCCCAATTCCCTTCCCAGGCACACCCCAGTGACTTGAGGGCTCAGGGTTTTCAGAGGTTCTCTGAGGATCAGATCACGTGTGTCAACCAATGGCACCAGGCTGGGCAAGGTGTGCACCCTGAGAAACCGCCTTCCCACCTGGCCTTCCGTGAAGACAGCTCTGCCAGTGCACACCCACTTCCCTCCCACCATCCCCCAGGATGGCTTTCTCGCGGCAGCACAAATCTACCAGGACTGTCTAGTGCAGTGTTGTCAACCCCGCCATAAAATTATTCTCACTGCTACTTTATAACTGTAATCTTGCTACTATTGTGAATCATAAAGTAAATATCTGATATGCAGGATGTCTGACGTGTGACCCCTGTGACCCACATGTTGAGCCTGTGACCCACATGTTGAGCGTCACTGGCCTAGAAAAAAGAGTTTGGGGACAGATTTCTCAGAGCCTTTCTGCAAGGCACTACATCTCTTTCTCTCTCCTTCTCGTCTCCTCCCCCTCTTCTTTCTTCTCCGTCTCCAAGAGCAACTAGCGTGATGGATATGCTGCAGTTATGTTTCAGAATGAGATAAAATCTTGGTTATTTGAAACAGAATTATCCACAGCAAAAGTTAGAATTTGAGGTCTTGTTTATTTTTATTTGGGTTTTTGAAATTTACCACTGTCTTGTCTCCATTCTCTGAATGCTGGGATGGTGAGTGTGCCACCATGCTTGGCTCAGTCTTGCTTTGTTTTTTGTGTAATGAATAAATCTACTTCACACATAGCAATTTATCATTCTTACCAGGTCACTGGGTCAGCATCAGAGAGACTCTGTATGTTGCTCCTGAACACAGCTTTGCCCACATGATAATAGTGGGCTGGAGTGATGGCTCAGTGACTGAGAGTTCTTTAAGAGGATCCAGGTTCAAATCCCAGTACCCACATGGTAGCACACAGCTGTCTCTAACTCAGTTTCTAGGGGATCTGACACCATCTCCTGCCTCTGCAGGCACCACACATGCATATGGAACACATGCATGCAGACAAGATGTCCATACACATAAATGCAATTTTAAAGAAACTGGGCAGCAAGCACAAGTCACCATGAGGTTGATTTCATTTCCTTCTTTTTAGGCACAGGAAGCTCTCCCAGGGCCCAATGGCCAGTGTGCACCCAGCCTAGGCTACAAGCTGGACTCCATGGAGGACAGTGACATGCTCACAACAGCTTCTCCAGAGCCCCTCTCTGGTTCTGGGCTCCATCCTAAAGGTAGCAGCAAGCTGTCCCATGCACAGTGAAGGAGCTGGCCCAGCGCAGCCTCAGCAACAGCTGTTTGGTTGTAGCACCTTCCTGATACCTGCAGCCAGGGCTTGAGGTGTGGGACTCTCTGCTGTGCAGCTCACAGGCAGGCCCTTGGCGGCCATAGCACGAGTTGTACTGGGGCCAATGGCTATGAACTGCAAGGAGGCAAGACACAAGAGACACAGCCTCAGCACCACAGCAAGCGCCGCGTGCAGGCGTCATCTGGACAGACTTTCCGTTAGGAGTCATCCCTGCGTGATGTTTCATATAAACAACCGTACAACCTAATTTGAAGCTGACTTCAGAGTCTGCACGATACCTTCAGGCAGGATCTCACTATCATCTCCTGTCACAAGTGCACACAGCCTTAGGACTGGGTGTATGGGGACAAAGCCTGGGGTAGACACCTCAGGGGCTCCAGTTTTCCAATTTCAGGGGCTCTGGGTGGGAGCAGGTGGGGAGCATGGGGTGCCAAGGTGGGTCTGAATCTCCAGGAAAACAGAACGCATAAGCTGGAAAACCAGGGTTCAGGGCTCAGCATCCACTCCCTCTGCCTCCACCTTCTTATCTCTAACCAGGCTGTCCACCGGGCTGCTGGGGGTTACAGAGTGGTCAGGGTGAACCACAAGTTCAGTGCTGGGCACGAGTGTATGCTCACTGACAGATGGGTGACCACTAGGTGCACAGATGGTCACACCCCAAGCCATGTGGTCACTGTAAGAAGGCAGGAAAGAAAAAGAAAATGCAATGACTTCCATTTACTAGGTGGCAGGTGCCATAAAGTTCTCACTGCTCTGGCATGGCTCCTTTGTGGTATTCAAGGTGCTTAACCTTGTGTGAACCCCTGCATTTTAAATAGCACTGTATGGACACTGTGTCTCAGAAACACTGCTACAGAGGAAGGCAGAGATGAAACAAGGATGCCAAGCCACCTGATACATGGATCTCAGGACACTGTCTTCAATGTTCGTCCTAAAACCCTTCCTTTCCTGGCAGCTGCAGAGCTCAAGGCCCCAGTGGCATCTTTAACTACCGGCGTGTGGTGCACTGAACAGTGGCAGTATGATGACTGGGGGGATGCCAAGAATCCATGGGTTACAGAAAGGAATGGGACAGACTTAGGATGGGTACCTTCGCTATGCCCCAGCTGCTCCATGAGTCTAGACAATACTGGCAGCAAAACCCTGAGTTAAAATTCCAAGTGTCCATTTTGTTCTGACTAGAGTTTGCTTAGGGTAATACAGAGTAGAGTTATAGTGGTACAGGTTCTTATTGGGGTAGACCAGCATGGTCAGCCCAGGTGAGTCCTAGGCATGTTCCCATCATAGCTGCCCAGGCACTTCACAGTTACCTGGTGTCTCATCCACCAGGTCCACAGAGACACACATGAGCAGCACTGGCACTGCTGCTGACCCTTCCCCCATGCTCAAGTGCTCATTCAGCCAGTGACCATGCTGAGCACCATGGACCTTCCTCTTCCATCCTGCTGCAGGACTCAGGTGCTAGCTTCCTCCCATAGTAACCCTCATAAAAGTTGGCCTCCAGTGATGCGCTGTAGGATGCTAGCAAGGTGCTGAGTCTCTCTACTCAGTTTCCCCGGTAAGAAGGGCAGTCACCTCCATCCTGCTGGATCCCCATAACCAGACTAGCATAAGCTGCAAGAACTTCAACCACTGTCTGGCAAGTGCTAGCCCATGGCTATGTATCACTGCAGCCCACACGCTGCCATGCACCCTTCTGGTTCCAGCCATGAACCCTTCCTTTTCAGGTGTGACCTAGGGCAGGGCATAGCGTCTCTGCACCTAACATCCCACCTTGAAACTGGGAAAACAGTCTGGTGTCCACGTGGGACACACCTTTGAGATGCATCTGTGATAAGCCAATGTGTTGAAGTCACCTGACTGAAGTGAGCTCTGGGGGGTGGGGATGGGGCCTACTGTCCCTGGGTTCTAGGCCACACTTTTTACATGCTCCTCAGTCCCTGTGAAGTCTGGTCAAGGGCACTTCTGTTGCAGGTGCCACAAGAGTTGTGTCACTTACAGTTCCTGAAAGTGTAAATGTAAACCCTTTAAACAAAAACAAAGACAGATGTTTCTAGACTAGAAAACCATTTCAACATGGAATAAAGGAGGAAAAGGCACCAACACCCACGCCAAACCCTGCAGGGAGGGCCTCACTCAAGTCTTCAACTAACTGAGGACAATGTCATGCAGGGAAGGCCAGACAGTTGGCTATACAGGATGAAAAACTTGGGGCTAATATCCCCAAGTTAAACTGAGACCATCCCAAAGGAGATCAGCAACATATGCAGAGAACCAACAAAAAAGTAACAGGCCCCAGTCACATCACGGGCGTCTGACTCAACATGCAAATTCCAGGATATAGTCAAGAGCAAAAAGGCAAGTCCACAGAATACCATACCTTAATCTGATCAAAGCTGCTGCCAGATAACGCCTGAATATACTCCAGGCTGTATTTAAGACCAGAGGGACTGAAAAATGTGATGCTGGCTGGGATACCCTATGGGAAAGGAGAAGATGAGATGTAGCTTTTGCCCCTAGACAGCATTTCTCAGTTCATCAACATCAACCCTTCCAGTCCTAGAAGGACCAGGGGCTCTACATCAGTGTGATACCTGGCTCTGTACCATTCTCAGCCCACCAAGGCATAGTTCGAAGGACATGTTTATAAAGCAGCAATTCCCACTGAGTGAGGGCTCTGCTGGTCCTCGGTCTGTTTGGTCAGAAGGTGCTGACTCTGTGGAGCCCAGTCTCAGCAATGGAGACACCTCCAGCCCCTGGGGTTAAACAGCCCTCATGGAATTAACAGTCTTCTTGTTGGCTTCTGTCAACTTCTACTTGCTAGGGACAGAGCAGACAACGATCACCCAGCCTGCATGGTTTCTCTACACTTGGGCTGTCCAACAGAACCTCAGAACAGGCGTGGTATGCAGAAGCTGCTCTAGGAGGACAAAGGCTGTGACTTCTGAATGGAAATGGTGGAGGTAGTCACTAAATTAAGAAGCACTCTCCACTCTCCTGCCCCAGGTCTCCCAATCCCAACTTAACTCTATGGTGGGCTCTTCCCAGTGTGGGCTCAGCCTCTGCCCCACGGAATGGAGAGCAAAAGCAATAACAAGGCCACTATGTATTTCAGGCCTTTGTATATGTTACACAAACAGCTTTGTATGACTTATCTTCTTTAATCCTATACAACTGTCACTGGATGGGTCTATTTCTACATCACAAGACACACAAATGGAGCTACAGAAAAGCCACTTGCTCAGTCACATGACTCTGGGAATGACAGAACCCCAATGAGAACCAACATCCACAATCTCATACCCTCAACTTATGCCCCTTCCCTGGGGCATGCCCTGCCAGGCCTTGCTCTCCCTAGAAACCCTACATACCTGTTTTTCATAGAAGCTCTCCAGGTTTCCTTGGATTCCAGGGTGTGGAACTGTCTGATAGACATGCATGCTTTCCATGGGAATCCCTGTGCACAATCAAAACCAGGCTTCATCGCACTGTGAATGGGGCCTCTGCACCCTAGTGTGTAGCTGATGGGGACTGTCAACACACCTCTGAGAACCAACTCCTCAGAAATGCAAAGCAAGACAAGGGGGCAAAAGACCCTGCCCAGCCCTCTGTGACCTGCAGAGCACTGTGGAAATCAATCCGAAGTCTGGAAGGCTGAGTTAGCAGGGAAAGGCCAAGAAACCACAGCCTTCATCGGAACCCACAGATGCCTTTGGTTGTCATGTTTGTGTGAGTTTGTCCCCACAGCTCTGATCCTGGCTGCTCCATGAATCCCACAGTCATGCTGCCAGGAAGTGAGGTTTAGTATCAGAAGACCCAAATGCATCCCAGCTCTGTGTACAGGGTCATGTGTGCCTCCTGGGCCTCAGGACATTCATCTTTAGGGATGCCATTAGCTCTTTCAAGTCACCTTTGTCCTTGAGCATTTTTGGAAGAGTATCTCCTTTGATAGTTCCACAGGGAAAGAGAAGAGGCAGTGTTGAAGATGGCCCTGTGAACACACAAGCACACACTGTAAGAGCTTGGGAAAAAAACAAAACCTTTGTAAAATCACGAAGGGTGACACTGTACAGAAGCACATGGAAGACAACTCCCAGGAGGGTGAGGCTCAGGACCCCATGCTCAGCTCTGCTCTCAGATCTCAGTTCCAGCACCTGTCACCAGGAAGGGAAACTGCTGCATTGTGCTGGCCTTGAAGGGTTCCATAAAGAACCAAAGAGGGAATGTGAGCCAAGAGCCTAGAAAACTCAGCCACAGAAACAAGGCACTGCTGTCCTACTTGCTGCCCGAACTGTCTGTCGGGAGGTGGCTCCCTGGTTCATGGTCCCTATCTGGAATGCAGGCCTTGTACTTAACTATGTAAGAATATAAGTAAGGACTCCGCTGGTATTAGCATTGGGAATATTTCCTAGCTCTGGAGGGGGTTCTGGATGAACCAGGCACATGCACAGGAGACAATAAGGAAGTGACTCTTTGGTGGCTCTGTAGCTACCTCCAACAAAGGCAAATTCCCTGCCTGCTATTTGCCCAGCCACACGAATAGATTTTAAGCAAGGGCATAAAGGGCATAAAAGGCAGGAGGCTGCTCCAAGGGCCCTGAATCTCACTGTGCCCCAACACCCATCTCTACCTGAGAAGGCCTGAGGCAATGTTCAGTCCTGAGCACTTTGCAACTGACAGAACAGCAAGTTGCAACAAAACCACCCAACCAAACTGAGGGACTGTCAAATGCAAGAACTTTCCTCACCAACCATTTCTTCTGTATCAGACCAAGAAATGTAATGGGTATTGCTCATGCATAAACATCACATATTTCCCATGGCACAATTATCCTTCTGAACACACCACTGGTAACTGAGATCAGAGGAAGAATGAAACAAACTCTCCCCAGCTAGCACTGGCTTTGAGAAGCAGTAGCTAAGTGACAGTCTTAGCTGTAGGCCACTGTGTTTGAAGTACAAGCAACAGTGGCATGCTGGTGGATGTTTTATTTAAACTGCTCTGTAAACACTGGTACCAACACAGGAGAGCACATGGCTCGGGAAATGATTAACTATAGATCACAGCTGCCTGCTGAGTTCTTTCCACTGAAGTGCTGCAGGTACCTCCTAGACACACAGTTTTAAAGACATGTTCAGGTGCTGTGCTGTCCACCCTAGCCTAGGCGGCTCTCTGTGTCTTTTTATGTGAGTGTTGTGGCCGGAAGGTGCAGGAAGCTAGGGGCTAAAGCTCTTTCTAGGGCCCTTATGGGAAGGCAAATAATTCAACTTTCCAGCAAGCCTTGCCCCAAAGGCATGAAAAGAGCCTCTTGATGATTCAAGAATCTCCCCTCCTCTTTATCTTGTCATACTGTTATTCCTAGATCGGTGAGAAGCATAGGATTCGAGTTCCATCTTTTATCCCGAAGGCTGGGCTGTAGTGGTGCAGGGTATTCTGTGGACCTAGGCTTGTCTGGCCAAGATCTGCCACCTAAGCATGTGGGGCTCACATATGAAGTCAGCCAGCTCAGCTGCCTTCTCAGGAAGGGAATACCCCGGGGGCATAAAAGAAGGAAAGGTTGAGTATGTTCACATGGAACGCTGCTGTTGAGAGTCCAATGAACTGCATTTTCTGAGTGCTCTCTGCCCAAAGTAAAAAAAAAAAAAAAGCTGGGTGTGGTGGCACATGCCTATGATCCTGGCATGCAGGAGAGTGAGGCAGAAGGATCACTACAAGTTTGAAACAAGTCTGGTCTATACAGGGAGCCTGGGTTGCAGAATTTTGAACAAACTAGAACTATACTACCACAACCATCTCCCTACTCCCTTTTTTTAAAAAGATTTATTTATTTATTACATATACAGTGTTCTGTCAGAAGAGGGCACCAGATTGAATTGCAGATGGCTGTGAGCCACCATGTAGTTGCTGGGAACTGAACTCAGGTCCTCTGGAAAAGCAGTCAGTGCTCTTAACCTCTGAGCCACCTCTCCAGCCCCCCCTACTCCCTTTTTAAAAAGCTTAATTTCTGTGGATTTATTTTTAACTTGATCAAGTCAGTGCACTAGCAAAGCTTGCTGATTTCAACATACTTAGGCCAAAGCAATGGATGGAGCCAACAACAACGGCAACACCACCACACACACACACACACACACACACACACACACACACACACACACACACACACACACAGTGACTTGTGGAGCCCAAGGGCTCTGCTCTCCATTGCTGTGGGCTGCCAGAGATGACAAGTGACAATGCTAAAGTTCAATTAATACAATGCTGCTTGCTGCTAAGGAGGGACCGGAGGAACAGACTCTCAAGACAGTGAGAAATGCACAACAGGAGCAGCCCCTGATGTAGGTAAGAGATGAGTTGTGTGCTCAGGCCTCAAATGCAGATCATCAGACACTGAAGCTAATTGGAGCATGGGAGCAGGGACTCTGTACATCCAGGAGATCATTTCAAAGAAAGGCATTACAGTCTGTTTTGGCTTCTCTATCTCTTTAAATGTGACTATCTTCAATTCTATACCACTTACCTTGTGATTACTCTCTCATTCAAAGAGAGATTGGAGAGAGGAGCACAATTGTTTATAAGGAGTGATCAGGTTAAATGGGTTAACAGCTTTAAGTGCCCACAATAATGTCTGTCTTATAGTAAATGTTTAAGTAAAATAATGAGTTGAGCCGGGCGTTTAATCCCAGCTCCCAGGAGGCAGAGGCAGGCGGATCTCTGCAAGTTCAAGGCCAGCCTGGTCTCCGTAGTGAGTTCCAGGACAGCCTCCAAAGCCACGGGGAAACCCTGTCTTGCAAAACTAAAAAAATAAAATAAAATAAAATAAAAAAATAATGAGTTGACTTTGTTCCCACCCACACTGGAAGTATTTTTCTAACTTTTAAAATTGGGCTGTTTCAGGTGATCGTGGCACACATCCTTAATCCCAGCACTTGTGGGGCAGAGGCAGGTGGATCTCTAAGTTAGAGGCCAGCCTTGTCTACAGAGCAAGTTCCAGGACAGTCTGGGACACAAAAAGAAACCCTGCCTTGAAAAACCAAACCAATCCAAAAACAATGAAACAAACTGAGCTGAAAAGTTTACATAAAGAGAAACTCATTAATGTCTTGATACAAACTTAGGTAAAAGTCCTCAGCAGCAGTTAACTATGACTTTATTTGCATATTCTAATTACAAATGGAAAGTTTTTTTGTTTTTATTTTTGTTTTTTCGAGACAGGGTTTCTCTGTATTGCTTTGGAGGCTGTCCTGAAACTCACTTTGTAGACCAGGCTGGCCTCGAACTCACAGAGATTCGCCTGCCTCTGCCTCCCGAGTACTGGGATTAAAGGCGTGCATCACAATGCCCGGCACAAATGGAAGATTTATTAGGCCTACAGACATGCTAGTAATAAGCTAGAAGTTACAATGGCTTTGCAAAGATTGCATCCCAGGACTGGCATCACGCCTGGGTAAGGAAGGGTATTTGTATCCAAGTCTGTTGATCTGAGTTTGAACCCTCGGACTCACAGGGAGGAAAGAACCAATCCCCAGAGACAGGGCATAGCATGTTACTATCCACCCTGCCAAGCCTGGGCCAGTTAGCTGAAGCACAGTGTGGGAGCTCACATTGGCACTGACCCTCTGCCTTGTGCTTACAAAGCAAGGAAACCAACCTGGTGGCCCTAGGCCTAATAATGAGCAATGACTCAGGCACTTCTGTCTCCTTCTAGAACAAATGCATGGAACTTGAGTAGCGCTCAAGACCTGCTCTGGAGACAGGTGGAAGCAAAGTGCCATTATGGAATGGGCAATTATCCCTCATAAATGCTGGTGTTTGATTCTAAGAGGACACCATGATCTATCCTTTACATTTAGGACTACATTTTTAAAAGACAGGCTTTGATGCTATGTATAGCTATGCTTCAGATTCTGCTATGCCTCTAAATCTGACTGGGTGCCTGTATGCTTATCATGCCCTTTATAACAGACCAGTGAACATGGGTCCTGAGTTCTAGAAGCCATTCTTCTGAGTTATTGACCCTCAGGAGGGGGCTGTGGGACCTAGATCTGTAACCCAGTTGGACAGAGTGCGAGTCCCTTGGACACCAATATTTACATCTAAAGTTGGGCAGTCTTGTGAGACAGCCTTTTCCTGTGGGTCTGCACTTACTCTGGGTTGGTTCACAACTGAATTACATTATGAATGCCCACATGGTATCTGTGGAGTTGGACATTTGGCTGTTGCTGTGAAGAAAAACCTGTTTGGTGAAGTAGCCGTGCCCTTACCGCACCAAATGTTTGCTGCTCTTTTCACTGCTTACGTCACCTGCCTTCCCAAGTCTAGCTTATGCTGGGAGCTCCCAGGAGGCAGGAGGCTGGAGGGTCTGAGCCCTATACTCTAACTAAAGGTCTGCTAAGGCAGACTGAACTGACTTGGTCTTCTATGAAGTGGCAGAGAGTACAGATGTAGGAAAGAGAGGTTCAGTCCAGGCATCAGGTGCCCAGCAGGCCTCCGCATGCCAGTGAACATGGAGTTCAGGAGAATGTAGACTTAGCAAACCACCGTGGTGGCTAGAGCATCCTCTTTAAAGAAGACCTGTCAGGTATTTGCAAGCTGTAGGCCCCCCAAAGCTCTGCCACACCAGAGTCAGGCACCCTAGAACTCTCACCTTAGTGGAGTCCCCTCACTCTGAATCTAGGTGGTGCCTGGCCAGCAGCTCCTTGAAGTCAAGCGGACACAAAGCAGAGTTCAGTTAGGTTTGCTGAAGGTGATGGACCACACATATCAATGGTTCTGCAGGTCTAAGTCTGACTTCTAGCCCTGTTACCTCAGAGCCTGAGGCCTTGGTCCCCCAGTGCCTCAATAACAGCACACTAAAAAAGAACTTCAGTGATGACAGGAATACTTCATTGTCCAATGCAGGGTCACTGGCCATTAGTGATGCCAGAACTATAAAGTGTGAAATTCTATTTAGTCTGGATTATTTTCGCTACCATCCTGGATGGCACATTTGTCACCAGACATGGCTCTTGCCCTAGCTGGCTGTGAAGACTGTCTCCTGGGGAACACTGAGCACTCATTAATGCTAGTTCTCAGTGTTAATGCCAAGCATTTAATTAGCAGAAAGGTAGTTAAATAGTATTTTTTTGTGTGCTGGGGAATAAACCCAGGACGTCATACATACTAGAGAAGTACTCTGACATTCGACTATACTCCAGCTTTGAAATTGTTTTTAAAAGAAGCTGATATGCCACCAATATGTACAATTTTTTGCTATCAGTTAAACAATTTAAATAGAAAGATACACTAGATTCATTCCCATGGCTATGACGAACACTGACCAAAACAACTTAGGGAGGAAGGGGGTTTATTTCCCTTGACAGGTTATAGTCCATCACTGAGGGAAGGAAGAGCAGGAACTTGAAGCAAGAAACTGACGGTAGAGGAAATCTCCTTGCTGACTGCTCACAGGCTTAGTTAGGCTTAGCTAGCTTTCTTGTGGAACCCAGCACCACCTGCCTAGGGAATGGTGTGGCCCACAGTGGACTGTATCAATTATCAATGAAGAAAATACTGAAAAGACATATCCACAGTCCAGTATGATCTGGGCAATTCCTCAATTGAGATTCCTCAGGTCACTCTAGGCTACATCAAGTTGACAGTCAAAGCTAACCAAGACAGATGTCTGTTTTCATATTGAAAAAAGTAGAGAATTATCAGCTTGGAGAGGACAGCTGGCATTCCCTGCCTGCTGCTGAAACCCGCAGGTGGCTCTGCCCAGGGCCTGTCTGGATCTAGGGAGCCCCAGTTCAAAGTTCATGATTCAAGGCTTATTAGGAGCAGCTTCCAGAGGTACACTAAGATGTAAAAGCTAAAGAACCTTTTGGCAATGGGAGTAGCTTATGGCATGAGAACCAGAGAAGACTTTAACATACAACTTTGCGATCACAAAAGCCAATACCACTTCAAGAAGCCATGGTTATAACATAGTTTGTTTTATCCATCATTGTTTGAGAAGCCATAAAAAGCCATAAAGGTCCTTCTCTCTTCACCCTGATAATATGCTAGGGGAAAAGAAGATGTCCAGATCCTACAACCTTTGAAGAAAGCCAAAGCTATGTCAGCACTCCATCCTGACCTTCTCCCAGCCCAGCAGACCCCAAAGCAATTCCTCAGAGGGGTCAGCACATTACACAGTCAGAGCCAAGACCCAGGGTTTACATTTCCCCTAGATGTTTTCCTGTTCCAACTACAGAGTCTGGTAGCACTGATAGAGACCTGCCTGCAAAACCGTAAACACCTGGCTGGCTGACCTCAAGAGCAGGTTCAGATTTCTTCCGCTCACAGAGCAAGAGGGTTCTCCTTCAGTCCGTGTGGCGGAGTGACACAGCTGCAAGTCCCTGTGTCTACAGCTGGATTCGACATTCAGGAAAGAGGACAGACACAGCATCGAGGAGGGCATTCTCAATTTTCCTGTCCTCACTCCAAATTCTCCATTCTAAAACTCTCATCTGTATTCTTCAGATGCCTAAAACCCTATAATTAGCTTAAGACAAATCACCACCTAAATCCAAAAAGCCCTAGGACTGGCCTATGCGCTGACTGAAGACAACCTTGTGGGGAATCAGTTCTTTGTTGGGAGTGTGTTTTGTGGGGGAGGGTGGGTCTTCACTTACTGGAGCAAATATATTCAGCAAGCTTTTCTGCATTTCCACTGTGTGCTCCTTCTGCATCCAGGCCAATTTTATTCACTGGAAAATGACAAAGAGGTGAATTTCTGTGACAGTTACTGAAACCCTTTAGTTCCTGCATTACTTTTAAATCACAAATGTGCCGGCACTGTTTGCCTACTCACAGAGATGTGTCCTCTGGAAGCCAAGGAGAAAGACCACAGCTATCCTTTCCCAGATGAGGGTGCCCTGGGCACACCTTCCCTAGACAGGGGTCTTAGTGTTAACTAGCTTCTCTGAACCCCACTTATCTACATGAGCCAGAAGCACGGGCCCTGTAGGACTGTCTTAGGCTTATGTGATAATGAAGCCAACTGCTGGCATCTGCTTATCAGTCAGGAGATGGTGAGCGTTTGGAAACCACCAAGTCTTGCCAGCATCTTTTTAGAGAGCCCTTGTTTCATTGGGGAAAGGTGATCAGCTCCCATCAAGAAAGGGGTAGTGGGTTCACATGGCCAGACTGGAATGAAGGGGGCAGAGAAAAGGTTTCACAACACAAAGACCCATCGCACTATGTACACTGGTAGTTGGGGAGGGCGCTGTCCCAGTCCCCCTCTCAATGTAACCCTGGAGCTCTCTATATAAACTAGGCCAGCCTCCAACTCACAGAGATCCTCCTGCCTCTGCCTGCCAGGTGCTGGGTGGAATTAAAGGTATGTGCCACCCCCACCTGACCAAGCTCTTCTTGAAGAAAACAAGAAGACTCCTTGCCTTCTCCAGGCAGTGTACATGTGGCTACTCCACAGAGAATGTGGATGAAGGCAGGGCCTGCTTAGCACGGCTACCTGCACAGAGGAACACACGACTTCCAGAGGAAATGTATGGTGGGTACTGCATTTAGGAGCCAAACAGTTGCTACCTATGTTGTCACCAATGACTGTTTCAATGGGCACCATCAGCTTTTCATTCATGGGTCATTAGAAATGTACTGTGCCTGAGGAGAAAGCCTCCTGCAGTTGTAAACTGTTCAGCACCAAAGTGCCGCGCTTGCTGCGCAGCCTGAGTCCGAGAATGTGGCGAGGGTGTCGGGGATTGACGACACAGACCCAGAAGGCTCCTCAAGAAGGCTCTCCTTTATTCCTACTCTGGCTGGTTATTATATACCCTCACACCAGAGGTGGGGATGGGTGGGTCTGAGGATGCGGTTAGTCTTTGGAAAAGGTAGAGGACAGGGCGGTTTTCAGGAACTTATTGCCCTGGGCATTGTATTGTTTTTAGTAAACATGTTTTTAGTAAACATTGTCTTACAGCTGCCTATTCCCAGGCCATGGGGAAGTGGGTCTCTGCTCAAGGTCTGGTGTCCCCACACCAAAACTGTCTCTGCACTGCACTGCTGACCCAGGCTACCAGGGACAAGTGAGCCAAGAAGCCTGAAGTCCCCAGGAACTGAACTGAGGCTGGCCCTTAATACAGTAGGCGTGTGTGATCCCTTGTCCCTGCTTTGGCATTCCATTTCCCTCCATTTCAACTACTCTTGGCCAACAATGGCCTGAAAATACTAAATGGAAAATTCCAGGAATAAGCAGTTAACAGGTTCTAGGCTGTATATGGTCTGAGTGTGAACTCTTATCCATCCTGCCTAGGATTCAAACCTTCCTTCATCTTCCCTCGACTCCTTACCTAGAGAAGCAGTGGCATTTCCAACCACATACACAGACTTGGCATTCCATCTGTTTTTCAGAGACTTTTCCCAGTCTGCAAAACATGGAATTATATATCAGCTATGCACACAAAGTGGCTATCTGTATGTTAAGGTGGCTCGCTTCTTCATTTTTAAGGCCCCAGCCTTCACTTTAGCAGGAGACTGAGCTCTCAGTCTCTAAAGCAAGCTGGCTACCTGGGCAAGGAGACAACAGTGACAGCACCACCCCATTTCCTCACTGACCACTCTGCCCCTGGCAACACTCTGGATGCTCTTCTATGGGACTCAGATTATGCAGTGAGCATCAAAAACCTGTGGCTCAAGACACTTGGCACAGAGCAGACATATGACATTTTCCAACTAGTGAGTAGAGTAACCTCCTAGTTTGGGTGTTATGGAGCTTACTCCAAGGCCAGGTCACTAAGGGGAAGAAAGGTCAAGGAGCTCACAGCAGCCAGAATGGCTGCATGAATTCAGGGCTACAGGACTCCAAAACTCCAACACTAACCATCTCCCAATTGCTTCCCTTCACTGGAAGAACTCCCTAAGCCTGTTAAGCCTGTGTTTTGACTATAAGTGAGGTCACAGTACTGTACATGCCTCCAGGCTATATTCAGCATTCAATCTGGAGCTTAGGTGTCAGGAAATGGGTTGGGTCACTATATACTGCTGTAATGGAAAACAGCCATGTCGAAAAGGGTGTGGTAAGGCCATGAAGCATTTCCCCACTTGCATAAAGCGTCACTTAGCCTACTTTCAGAAGAAGAAACTGGCACAACACACAACATCTAAAAGGCAATTGAAGGCTGGTGAGCTAGTTCAGCAGGTAAAGGTGTTAGCCACCAAGCCTGACGATCTGAGTTTGACCCCTGGAACCCCTGGGGTGGAAGGAGAGAATGTACTCTTATGGACTGTACTCTGATCTCTACACACATATCATGGCATGTACCCAACAAAGAAGTAAGTAAATAATAATAAAATGATAAAATAAAACAAATACATAAATGGCAAGTGAGAGCACTCTCTCAGCCATGTCTGTGTGGGGACTCAGGGGGCACTTGTAAGCCCGCATGCCCAGGCACTTGGTTCTGTTGGGCATGTAGCTACCCCTGGACTGCAGTGTCTCAGAAAAGAAAAGGAGAGTAAGTAAGAGTCTGGTGGAATCCAAAGCCGACCTGCCCTCACCTTCAGTTTTATTGTCCTGCTCCAAACACAGCTTCACTGCTTCCACTGCCCTGGGACTGGTGAAAATGAGTCCTCCAAAGCCTTCGGGATGAGACAGCTGCACCAAAACCAACAGATGCTGGCTTAGTCTCAGCCTCTTGAAGAACTACGGGCCTGAGTCCAAGTGCGTCCACTAAGAAGTGGGAAACTAGCCCTTCTCCCTGCCACCCCTCCACCCACCTGACACTTTCTGGGGCTGACTATGGGCCTGGAGCCATTCTGGACCTTCCCTCAAGAAGCTCCTTCTCGGGCAGAGACACACAACTGCAACCCAGGGGATGAACAACCTGACTCAGAGGGGCAAACTGGGATGGGTCAGTGGAGTAAGCTGCAGGCAGGAGGGCAGACTTGATCTGGATCCATAACACAACTAGACTATCAAGGAGGTAAAACTCAGCTGAAGCCTGGGCTTCAAACACAATACTTGGCTGAATACTTCTGAGTTAGGCACTGAGCTGCTGTGTACACCTGACTTTACTCAAGGTGTCCACATCAAATCTTTGGTTTTTGCAGTGCTGGTACCCAATATGCATTGTGCACACAGAACACCCTCAGGCCACCATTAATCTGAAACATTTGGAGGCTTTACTGCCGGACTCCTGCAGGATCTGTCGAGGGCTGAGTAGAGCAAAGTGGTGGGCAGAAGCCCCGGGCTTGCATTTGGCCCTCCTAACTGCCTAGGTGCCTGGCTTAGTTTCAACACCAGAGCTCATTCTAAAACCAGAAACACCTGCCTAGTCATCTGTTCACAGGCCAGGGAAGGGCTAAAAGAGCCCTAACTCTGAGAGCCATGCTGGTGGGGCTCTATCTCCAGGGCTTCCTGACGAAGCAGACTGAGGCTTAGGGGGAGAAGCCTAAGGGGAGTCTCTGGCATCCAGGTGAGTGGGTGCTGCCCTGTGTTCATGTCTAGTGGTAAAATGAGCCTAACACTCTTGTGGCTTGGGCTGGCAAGAATTCTACAGAGGGCAAGTCCTAGCATGGGGCTCTTACCTTTTCTGACAAACTGGGAAGAGACAAAAACTCAAATGACAGAACAGGAATTAGTGTAGCTTCCAGTCCATATAATCCCAGCTCCTGCAAATGAATGAATGTCATTCTTGGTTAGCCAGGGCTGTCTTGAAAATAAGGAATGGTCATGAAATCACATTAACTGCTATCTGAAAACAGGGAAGCATAACACATTAGCTATATACCAAGTTTACTGAGTTTTAGCATCCCCACCCTTTCTTCCATTGGCAAGGAAGTTCTACTTCAGAGGTCAAGGAATAAGGCTCAGTCACTTACCTGGATATATGGGTCCTGGCCACTGTCATCATCCTTGGCATCTTTCAATAAGAGAACCTTCATTGTGCCTGGCAGCCCTTAGGAAAGACACTGGGACAGAGCAAGGAAATGATCTTAATTAGATCTCAAAGACTGTTCCTAGGCAATTGTTGGAAGGGGAGAGGACAAGAATCATCAATCGCCCTGTGGAGCTAAATGGGTGTGGACTTTCTCAAGACCCCTGTCACTGATAAGCCCAAAGGAGAACATGTTAGAAGTTGATACTGCCTGGAAAGGCAAGGGAGAGCCATTAGTTAAATCAAGTGACTAAGCCAGACCGTGGCTAACCAGAGAGAGATGGTGAGTTCTGTGTCACATCAGTAGCAAACAGAGAAATGAGTACCTTAATTTTGAGGAGGCAAATGAGTAAGGAAGCAAATAAATGATTTCCCTTACAAAATAAATAAACTAAATAGTTAATAAGCCCTTCAGTTATATTGACTTTTCCAGCTCTCAAGTCATTTTTATTAAATGTAATATACCAACCTAGAAACAATCTCTCAACATGTACATAATAATATATCATCTTACATAATTCATACCTTTTCTTTTTTTTTTCTTTTGGTTTTTCAAGACAGGGTTTCTCTGTATTGTTTGGTGGCTGTCCTGGAACTCGATTTGTAGACCAGGCTGGCCTCGAACTCACAGAGATCTGCCTGTCTCTGCCTCCCGAGTGCTGGGATTATAGGTGTGCGCCACCAACGCCCGGCTAATTCATACCTTTTCTACTTGTTATTCCACTTCTGAGAATAAATACAAGAATCAAAACTGTACATGAAGACCAGCATACAAAATTTCATTCCAGCCTGGATGTAGTGGCATACACGTTTAATCCCAGCACTTGGGAGGCACAGAGAGGTGAGCTGAGGCTACCTGGGTCTACACAGCAAGACCAGCAAGGGCTCTACAGTGAGACCCTATCTCCAAAACAAACAAACAAACAAACAAACAAAACCAAAAAACCCACTTCTTGGTCATCTCTATAATATCCAATAACTGGAAACAATATAAGCATCCAATGAGAGGCTGGTTAAGTAAACTGATACAGGTTTTAGAAAATCATTAAATATTGGCAAATAACCTAATTGCATGGGTTACCTAATCAAACATGTTAAGAAAAATATGTAAGAACAGTTACATAAGTAGTTTGATTTTAGTACAAATACATGAGAGACTACACACTCAAATATTATTAGTACTTATTTCTGAATAGGCATTAGTATGATTTTCCTTCTTTTCGTTTTCCTTATTATCCAAAAGTGTTATGAACATTATCTTCCTGGTTACATGGGAGACATTTTATAAAAATCACCCAGTGTTCTCACAATAAATGGCAGGCAAGAAGACCTGTAGAGTAAATCTGATTGAAAGACCATCATACCATAGACAGCATTAGACTCACCAAGAGAATACACTTGGAATGGGAAATGAGTGAGCTTTGGGAGCCATGAGTCACAAGTTACTACTGATTACACTGATGGCTGGAATATTCCACCCAGGGAACACTAGGAAATATGGCTCAAAATGAGTTCCTCTACATCTAAATAACCAAATCCAGCTACATGGATAAGAATTATGAAAGAATGTTCTAGTTATTGTTGCTGTCCAGGCATCAGAGAAATGGGGGCAGGGGGCTTGAGAAAACAGATGATATGGTTTCTATTACTCCCTGGGGTTCTCAAAGTGTCTCAGCTAGAAATTAGGACCCTTCCCCTCTATGGTAGTCATGTCTTTTTGTTATTTCAGCTTTCCAAGCTTATGATAGTAAATCTTACTTTTACTCTACTATGTGTCTTGGTTTGTTTGTTTTTGGAGATAAGATGCCACACTGTAGTATAGCCAGGCTGTCTGGAACTATGTGGCCCAGGTTGAATTTAAGCCTCGAGTGCTAGGGTTACAGGCATGTACTACTATGCCTCAACAAATTAAATCTTGGTACTATTGAAAAGAGCTCAAAAGGTTTCTAAAGCACACCCCCAGGTGTCTGTGAGGTGTTTCCAGGGAGGATTAGAGGGGGAGACCCACCTCTGGATGCAGGTGGCACCATACTATAAAGCAGACTAAGAGGAGTAAGAGGCAAAGGAGAACTCCCACACTTCCTGGTCTATCCTTTGAAACCATGAGCCAAAATGAATGGCCACTTCCTCTAAGTTGTTATATTTCATCTTCAAGCCACAGCTATGGAAAACCAATCAACAGCTAGTTTCCACGTATTTACAAATGGTGGCCCACATGCTGCTAAGAAGGTACTTAGAGATCGATCAAGTACACTACTGATGATACTGATGGACATTATTTGTTGTTTTTGTTTTTAGAGACAGAGTTTCTCTGTGTAGTCCTGGCTGTTCTGGAACTCACTCTGCTCTCCAGGGTGGCCTCGAACTCAGAGATCGCCTGCCTCTGCCTCCTGAGTGCTGTGATTAAAGATATGCACTACCACCACCAAGCTTAACATTTTTTTTCCTTTTTTCTGATGGACTTTTAGCAAGGAAGATCACTCCAGATAACTTTGGGGAGCTTGACTCAATCAATCCAAAGGCATTAGAAAGAGCAGCATGGGGGATCCCTAAAGCAGGAAGTTTCTAGCTCTAGACCAGCTTTGACTTGAACAGAGCCCCAGCCAGCATGTCCCACTGGTCTGCCCTTCTTGTTGGGTTGTACAGTGAATTTCAACTTGCCTTGCCAGCCTCAGTTATGCAAGGCAATTTCTTCTAATATATTTCCTAATATATATCTCTGCTTGGCTCTGTTTCTTGGCTTAGGTCCTAATGTACCTTCCAATGGAAGCCCCAGGAATCTGGTATGAAATTTAGTGACAAGTAAAATCTAGCATTTTTCTGCTGAAGAATGAATTCTTCTGGGTCCACAATGCAAGCAACAGGAAATGGTGATTAGAAAGCCAAAACATGATGCTGCGCCAAACAGGCAATCCTGTGGCCTTGCGGTGCTCTTCAACCTGCTTATGTTCCGGGCTCTGGAACACAGGTCCACAGAGGACATTTTAGTGATTCTTTAAAAAGCAAAGCCAGCCTGTCACTTGTCTTTCTAGTTGGTTGTCAAGCAGTGCAGCCAAATGCCCTGGGCCAGGAAGCTTCATGAGTCAGGTCTACTGGGTTTACTTGAAGTTGAGTGATAATTTCAGGTACTAACAAGTGCTGTGAGGTGATGAGATGGTGACTAGGGTTCTGACAGCTATTGCTGACCTCTCCAGGGACCAGGGAGACTGTTCTGGGGAGGCGACACCTCAATTGATATCTGAATGACAGTAGCAGAGGCCAGAGGAACAGCCTGGCAAGCACTGGGAATCTGGATTGACCCCTGACTACTACCTGAATGTTCAAAGGAGAAATGTTCAAGAGTCAGGAGGGAATCCAGAGTGTCTCCATGAAAGAACAGATTTGGCTCAAGAATAAAGGTCAAGGAGAGCTTTGGGTTTCTTTCAAACCAGTGAATGGCCTTATTACTAGGAGTTAGTTTCCTATCTCTTTAAGGAAATGCAATAATTTCCCCAGTTCCAAAGATGCTGGGTAAATATGAAGTGTTTTTCTACAGTGTGAACAAATACTGCTAGGAAGGAAACCTTCAAAAAAGCCAATGTTTGAAAGGCCTCAAGCTTCAGTTTATCCATCGGCTTTCTGGACTAAGCCCAACCTGGACTCCAGAAGCAGCAAGCACTTATTACAGATTGCCCTCTGTGCCCAAATGCTAGTTCTATGTAAACGACTTGCTTTCCTTTCTCACATTTTCATTATAAAAGTGCTCTTGGCTTCCTGCTGGTAACCACAGAACATGTCCTAGGACCTGGTCCTTTTCTGGCTAGCACACATGACTCAGCAAAACCTTTATTTTCGAGAATGCTTGTTCACAAAACTTGCTGAGCTCTAGACACGCAGAAGAGCAGCAATGTGTTTCTCACGATCAAATTTTCACAGTGGACTAAGCATTTTGCAATCCTCACTGAAGTCTTCAAAGTAGCTACTATCCTCATTTTACAGGAAGGGAAACCATGGCCCTTCCTTTTCCCAAGGTCAGCAGAATAAATGATAGAGATAGAACCAGAATCCAGATCTGAAGCCTAGGGCTCATCCGCCTAACCACTGGCTACCAGCTGACCTTTAAGACAAATCCTGGGCTAAAGAGGAATGAATGATTCAGAACTTGTCAATCCATTTCTACATTCCCTGCAGTCAGAAAAGCACAGGGAGGCCATCTAGTCACAGGTGCTACTCTAATGCATACTCTGACCATATTAGGGACTAAACTGATGGCACAAGAAGAGACCTTTCTCCTTTTCCACCTTGTGAAGCAATACAGGCTCCTGGAGGAAAATTTGCAAATTAAACAGTTATTAAAAATTAAAAATAGAATTAATTGAATGATTATGCTATTGCATTTCTAGGCACAGATCCCAAAAGAACAAAAGCAGAGACTTGAGTGAGGTCTTTATACACTCATGTTCATGGCAGCACTGTCTAACAGGTAAACCTATGAGCAAATAGTGTCCACAGACATAACTTGAAAATGAAGACCATGTGTGCAATGGAACTGTTCAGCCTTAGGTAAGAAATCAGGATGCATGAATACTGTGATTAAAGTAGGAGGTGACTGCCATGGAGCTGTAGAAAGGATACTGGGAACTGTTTTCTTTCCCGTGTGTGCGTGTGTGTGTACCTGTTGATGGTTAGCACTGCCTCTATCACTCTTAAGCTCATGTTTTGAGAACAGGTCTCTCTTGAGCCTGAAGCTCAGCAAGTCCTGGATCCACCTGTCTTCATCCTATCAATCACCCCAGTGCAGCATGTGGGTGCTGGAAATGCTGGTATAGCAAGCATTTTACCCACTAAGCCATCTTGCAGCCTGATACAGGGGAACTGTTTAATAGTGGTGATGGCTGTGAAACAGTATATATAAGCATAAGCCAAGAACCATGCACTTAAGTGTTACATTTTGTTATGCATATTTTACCAAAACAACAAAAACTATAAAGGCTCAGGAGAAATTTTTCATGAGTCTCAGTGCAATTCTATTGACATGTTTTAAATCTTTTTTTTTCTATTACTAGCATTGTCATAAGTATGCATTACAAGAACATGTTTTTTCAACAATTACAAAACCCAAGTAGAGGTCTGGATTTAGGAAGTAGCCATTTTAAGTCACTCTCTCGGAGGTAGAATCCTGGTGTCATTACTGTCCACGACACAAGAAGCTCCCGGGGACACCTGGATCTCACAGAATATCATCATGGGGACTCTGGGTTAATGGGGGCCTTGGTGTCCTATCTCCTCCTGATGAAGGATCACTGGGGCTATTCACATTCCCTAAATTTCTCTGGCAAAGGCTTCCTTACTTCTAGGGGCAGCTCACTCTGGTTTCGGAATCAAACACACCTCATATGTTGCTGTTATTTTACAGGAAAAAAGGAGAATCACAGAGCTTCTTGTCAGGAAGTTAATGTTTTCCCTAATGATCTTTCACCTTTACAAGGAGCTTCAAGTCAGTAGACTGTGGGATAAACTTGACTGGGAGAAGGTTCCAACCTTCAGGATGTTCCTCGCAAAAATCTGGCTTCTCTTGAAATCTGAAACTTTGGGCCAGTACTTCATTTATCCACGAGTGGTGGCAAAGGAGGGGTACACTCGCTAACTTGCCACAATCCTTTTCTTTCTGTTCTATTCTTTTCAAGTAAGTCTGGCACTGTGGTCCCATGACAGTAAAAGTCGTCTTGTCTACTTAGAACTTTGATAGGGAGGTGGCACAGGACCGGTCCCTGCCAGGATCAGCGGACCTTGCGGCGCGGACTCCAGGAGCGCCGGCCAGCCCCTCTTTGGCCCCGCGGTGTCACGGATCGCTAGGGTCTGCGTGCAAGTCCACAGACCTGTGCCCTAGTCGGGTCCTGAGCCCGACACCTACCTCGCGGGCTAAGAGGCAGGACCGACCTGCACGCCGCGGGGCAAGAATCTCGCGGTCCCTGCCGGGGTTGCTGAGCACACACAACCGGGAGGAGCCGCCCCTCACCCGGCAGCCAGCGGTCCCCGTGCTCGTACCTCAGGCGCGTGGGCGGCCCGTGCACATCTGGCTGTGCACGCGCACAGGCTTCTAGGCGCTGGCGGAAGGGACGCAGAAGGATGGGCGAAACCACTGCGCACACAGGGGGAGACCCGGAGAAAATGAGGAGGGCTGGAGGATGGAGGGAAGAACGGAGGGTCACACTATGACCCCGAGGTGAAGATAAAAGCTGTCAGATTAGTTCTGTGGGACTCATCCGGGCCGCAGTCTGGGTTGCGCCGACTCCGCGGCGAACTTTTTGATCCTGTTTACCCCTAGTCCACCGACAGACCGGAAGGGCAGGGGCGGGACTTGCGCAGGCGCAGTGTGGCTGGCAGCATGGCATCCAAAGCTAAGAAGCGAGCGTTGGGAAATGGGGTCCAGCGGCCCCTGGGACAGCAGGACCAGCGCGAAGAGGAAGAAGAGGATGAGGTGGAGGATGAGGAAGAAGACGATGAAGACAGTGACGAGGAAGAGGATGAAGACGAGATCGTGGACGAGGTGAGTCACATGTGACCATATTTTTGAGAGAAAAAAGAATTCAGGCAACCGATTCTGTGGTAAAGTGGTACGTCTCCAAGGTTCAGGAGCCGAACCGGACGTGGCACATTCTTACCCAGGTTCTCCCCTCAGGCTTTTCTACACGTTACTCCCCGAAGCTCTTCCCGGTTGAGTTACACCCCCCCAGAAGCCGGCCAATCCCCCCCCCCCCCACACACACACACACTTACCTTCAGTGGCCCAAGTCTTTACTGTGCCAGCATTCCTGCGGAGTTTCTTCTCTCCCCTCCTGCAGCAGCTCCCCACCTGCTACACTGGCATGTTCACTCTGTCCCTCTGCAGTTTCTTAAAGGCTACCTGCACTGTCCTACACTCTTCAGACGCCCTTCATCCTGCATAGTTTCCCCTATATATATATCTCAGCTAGACCGGATTTCCTGTCTCCCTGGGGCAGCCAACCTGGTCAGATTGTTTGGTTTTGTGGTCTCACAGAACTGATGTCCTTTCTTCACACTTCTTAGTACCTACTTCCCGCTGGTTGAAGCTCTTCTTTTTAGGTGAATGATTAGGGTTGAAAGAGTGTTCAAGACAATTGCTGTCCAGGTACTTCAGACTTGACTGTCCAAAGCAGGGTTTGTAATTCATCTCCCTCTCTTCATCATTTTTGTAATAGCTCCCCAGTTTACCAGTTCAAACCCTAAACATGGGTGTTAACTTTACTTACGCCTCCTATCTCACCCCTCACCCAGTCCATTAGTAAAGTCTGTTAGCTTTTCCTTCAGTATCCAGGCACATATTGATCCTGCAACTATTCTAGTCCACACCGCCATCATCTCTTGGTTACTATAAATGTTTTCCCCTTTTTTTAAAAGATGAAATTAAGACTGGGATAGCCACGGTGAAATTACATGTACCTTTATTTTATTGTTTTTGAAGTGCTGGGAATCAAACCCAGGATACTGTGCATGGTAGGCAAGCACTTTAACCATTGAGCCACACTCCCAGCTACGTATAATAGCTTTTCACTGTTAATGCTTTTCTATTTTTGTCCTTCCACCATCTGTACTCCGTTTATTGCCAGAAAGATCTGGCTGGCCTATTCTACTCTCCCTCATTGAATGCTCTAATGCCTTCCTATTTCCTCTATAGAAAAATCCTAAATCCTGTTTTTGAAAGACGGGGCTGGGGTGGAATATGGTTCAGCCAGGATGGTTGGCTCAGTGTTAGCAGGCAAGAGAGAATGAGTGGAAATGGTCATTGGCGTGAGTGTGCAAGGGAGGAGGCGCTGGGCTGTAGTGCAGCTTTGGGAGTGAGGCTATGGTGGATATGTGGCGTGTCCACCCTTCCAAGTCATTGCTTTGCTCTGTCTATCTTGCTTCGAACACCATCCCAACATTTTCACTTAGAGAAGTGTTTACCAGCTGTTTTGCTACCTCATGGTTTTAGACGTCGGCACGTCTTTCATTAACATGGAAAATCTAACAGATTGCCAATGACTAACAGTGCGTGTACTGTAATTAATAAACTGTGGGAAGAGGGACTGCAGGTGAGAGATTTCCTCCATCACGTTGGCCAGTGTGCTTGTCTTGGGCATCTGCCTAACTAGTTGATGTGGGAGAGTTCAGCGCACTGTGAATGCTGCCACCCCTGGTCCTGGGTACTATAAACAAGCCACTAAGCAGTGGTGTCTGGTCTGCTTCAGTCAGTTCTGGCCTTGAGCTCCTGACTTCCCTCCACAAGGAAGAATTACCTGGAAGTGGAAGATAAAAGAAACCCTTTCCCTCCCAAGTTGCTTTTAGTCATGCTGTTTATCACAGCAACAGAAAGAATGCCATCATAATAGTGTAGCAATATAAGCACTTACAAGTTCTATTGCTGGGAGTATAAATCTGTGCAACCTCTTTGGAGGGTAATTTGACAGAATTTATCAAGATTTAAAGTACATATAATTCCTGACTCAATAACTTATTGGAATTTACCCTCTTCAAATTGACAGTGATAATAACAATAACTATATATACATATATATATATCCCCAGGCTCTGTGCATTTTGTATTAGCTCATTTAATTCTCATATCAGCACCATGAACTTGGGAATTATCGCTATTTTACAAGTGAGACCACACAGCAAGTTAAGACAAAATGTGTATATATAGTTATGTGGGGGGGAAAAAAGAAACAAAGGTGGGGGGGGATCCATCAGCTTGTGTGTTTGCTATTGGACAGTAGCTTTAAGAGAAGAGGAAATCCTTAGTGGGTATTTCTTTATTTACTTGAAGAAGGCTTTCATTTTCTGATACATTTATTCACCCACAATTAATTTCTCTGATGTAGAAGTCCATGAAAATTACCCTGGAAGATCAGAATCAATCTCAAGTCTTTAAAAGTAATGATGCATCAGCAATAAAGGAATGTTCAAGCTCAGGCCCTGCAGAACCTGACTTAAAGGACAAAGTGAGGTAGCTGGCGTTTTCTCTTGGATTCTGTTGCTAGCTGCTTACCAAAGAGGTTAGGGGGTTGGGGGACATGTCCTGGAACATAGCTCTTGTAGATCAGGCTGGTCTCGAACTCACAGAGGTATGCCTGCCTTTGCCTCCCAAGTCCTGGGATTAAAGGGGTGCGCCACCACTGCCCTGCTCCCCATATTCTTTTTTTTTACAAATTCGTTTACAGCCTCCCTCCCCGTGAGTTTGTACTCGATTGTGTGCATGGGAGTGTGCACATGCTCACATACCATAGCAAACGTGGAAATTAGAAGACAATTTGCAGCAGCCAGCTCTCTTTCTACCATCTCAGTCCAGGAATTGAACTCATGTAGTCAGTCTTGGCAGTAAGTGCCTTTACCTACTGCACTCTCTCTGCCCTGCCCTCCCCGTTTTGAATGGCATATATAGTTGAAACTTTAGACTTGTTCTCTGTCTTCTCTGTCTGCCCCACAAGAGCAGTCATTCCCATCTGCTTTGCTTACCATTCCTTCCCCATTTATTTATTTGTTTGTTTGTGTGATCTTGCTATGTCGCTTGTTTGGCCTTGAACTCACATTGTAACCATATCTACCTTCAACGCCCTATAACCCTGCCTCACTCTGGAGTACTGGGATCGCAGACCTGTGCCACCAGGCGTGGCTTCACCATTTCCTCTCAAGGCTTGGTACTTGCTGTTACTTAGTAAATATTTGCTAAGTGACAGCCTCACATCTCTGGGTAAATTAAACTCTAGGCAGTTTCTGGGGACTTGAAGTAATCTTGTCTTTTCAATTGCTTTTTGTTTTTTTTGTTTTTTGGGGGGTTTTTTTGGTTTTTCGAGACAGGGTTTCTCTGTGGCTTTGGAGGCTGTCCTGGAACTCGCTTGGTAGTCCAGGCTGGTCTCGAACTCACAGAGATCCGCCTGCCTCTGCCTCCCGAGTGCTGGGATTAAAGGCATGCGCCACCAACGCCCGGCCCTCAATTGCTTTTTGAAGCCAGGTGAATAATCATTTTTTCCTTCTTGTGGCTGCCTGACAGTTTTATTTGGATGAGGCTGTGTTCACATTTAAACCAGGTCACTGCGTTTGTACCTTCAGGCTTTTGTATCACATGAGGAAATGGTATGAATGGTCTTTGTAATTTTGTAATCTGTACAGGTGGCAATCTTGGAAGTATTTACCTTTTTAAAATTTTTTTTGTCTTTATTCTTTTTCTTTGAGAAAGAGTCTCCTTGTGAAGAACAGGATGACCTCAAAATTGAGGTTCTTGCACCCCTCCCCCTAACCTGCGGGTTGGCATTGCAGGCCCGTAGCACCATCCTGATTATAGATTTGCCTGCTTTGAAGCCTGACATTGCTAGTGTTTAGATAGCATTTCCCTCCCTCCTTACCCTGTTACGAAACACTGTGCTATGCAGCCTAGCTGGTCTCTAATTACCTATCTTCCATCTTCTGTCTCCAGGTTGCTGGTTTGCACCACAGCATTAGACTAACATTGCCCGTTTTTCTTAACCCCAACTCCGAGACATTTTCTGCAGATAGAGAGCAGACCTAAAAGAATGGAAACTAAGGGGGGAACATTTGCTAAATGGAAACACTACCTGCATCATTTGTAATTCTATGACACTCTGTTTCACATACTATTTACAGGAAGTGAATGTTGAATTTGAAGCTTATTCCATCTCAGATAATGATTATGGCGGAATTAAGAAGTTACTGCAACAGGTACGGTTTTTCCAGAACCCAGGCCTGTCTTCTGCTCTTGCTGAAGGAATCTCTCCTCTTCCAGGGTGGCTCTTTGTGCCTCTTGTCTCTGCCCTGCCATTGGTTACTGTGTTTAAGTTTGCCATGTCCTGGAATGCTTTCCATTTCATGTGCTCACTGCCTGAGATACTAGTCTTTCTTATAACTCGCATCCACACGTTGTGGGCTAAAAAACATTTTTTAAGGGAGGAGAGTTTGGATTCAGTTCAGAGGGGATGCTGTCCACTGTGGCAGGGAAGGCAGGGTAATAAGGGCCCAAGGCCACCCTCACATAGCATCAGCTACATGACTGCACCTGCTTGTGCTGCAAAGTTCACATTGCTGCCTGTACTCTGCCTTTACCTCAGATAACATGGCCTGTGTTGATCTGCTTCCATACCTGTTTGCTAAATCCTGTTGGCTGTATCTTTTCTGAAATTTCTTCCGACTCTGGGTTTTTGTTTTCCTCCTGGGGTTACTTTTCTCAGCCATTTTATTGTTTTTTACTTAGATAACAGAATCAAAGTGTTACTAGAAATTGTGC